AATACACGTCGAAGTCGCTTAAAAATTTAGATCAACAATCAAAAATGTAGATCAATCACCAATGCAACATGAAATCCGATTACGAAGTGAACTACCGGGAGGTGGTGAATGGTTTGGAGAACATGCATTCGCGTGTTCGCTGACAGATAGCAATCAGAGAGGGGAGGGAAGTACGCGTTGTTTCTAATTAATGGTGGCGAATCGCGTGAAAACGACCCATTTGTCTGAGCAACCGTCGGATGTTCACAGAAGAATTGTAAGCGATACAAATACCTTAAATGTCTTCAAACACTTACCTCGCCGTTCCCACTGAAATTTCCACCCTCACGATCTACAATTATAATAAACGTGATCTAGATTGTGAGTACATTGTGTAATGCCGTTTTATTTCGGTGAAATCGTGGCAAAGTTTTTACAGCGTAACGATAACGACAGTAAGATTACTGGTAGTCAAACTTGCCAGGACTTCATCTTTAATCCACTTTAGATTACAGAGATAGATAATTAAGTTATTTCTAATACTACCGTAGAGCTTATACCATTTACAATTAGAGGCGCAATTAGCAAACATCCCTGTACAAAAGTACCTAAAAGCCTGCGCACATTATAGTTAAGACTGTCGTTAGTTAGAAGTATTGCCCAATGAGAATACATGAAAATGCGCTCACATCATCTGCATATACTTTCATTGGGCCAGTAACAACAGTTTGATTATAAAGCTGGAGTTAGACTAAAACAGAAACGGTTTACGTATTCTTTTAAAAAATGAATGGTCTTAAAAATATAAAGAGTACAAATAATATCTTTGAAGTAAACAAATTATAGGTAAAAATAGGAGAAAAACGAAACGAGGCTTCACTCGCATGGTCTGACTCTACCTTAATGTACTCTTGCTGCAACTAGAAAGCCGTATATCTGTATGTACTGCTCTATATTATAACATGCTACGTATATCCTGCGGCTTCATTCACGTGAATTAATATATAATGTTAGGATATAACTATAATCTAAGAATATAACCTACTCGTGTACCAAATTTTATTTAAATCTATTCAGTAGTATTTGCGTGAATGAGTAACAAACATACATTATCCCTCCATTCTATATTCCACGTTACAAATTTTTCCCATTTAATAAATAAATAGAATAAAGTGCAGTATCTTAATAACTTGTAGGGAAGTCACAAACAATAACACGACGTAACATATGGTGACGCAAGACTATTTTCTATTTTACTCGAAATTGATTCTTTGAGTAAAGGCCACATAACGTGTGGTTATGTCATATTGTCGATGTGAATACGCAATATACGGAGTAGATTCGCCTGTATTTTTTTTTTGTATATTACGCAATTTTGTCACTCCGTTACGTCGTAATTCAGAACCGATTTCGATCATTCTTATTGCAATCCTTAGGGTTTACCGCCATTTTGTTTTAATATTAATTTTATATATATAGAAGTTGCTTTTTTTCTTTGAGGAACAATAAAACACTCGATATGATACAAAATCTACTCACAGACATATGACCCCGTATTCTAAATTCAAATATTTAATGTGATATATATAAAGCATTTCTTTGTTTATTGAGAATTATTGAGAGCTTTACATTTTCGTTTTAAATTAAGAATGGTAATATTACTAAATATTTAATTTTTTAAACTATAATCGTATTATTTTTGGAGCAAGATCTACCTGTTTTTGAAGTTTTCAAGGACACTAAACGAGACACAAGTGTAACTAGTTATAAAAACTTCATACTTAGTCGAATACATATATAGTATATAAGTAAAGTTGGCAATACTGTTCAGTATTAAGTACCAGTATCATAAACATTATATTATTTTATTTATCACAATATCATCAATTAACACGATCGTTAATTAATCTTTTGGTAGACCTCGATGAAAGAAATAACAAACAATCAAAACGTTCATATTTATAACATTAATTGGGTAGTTACCCCATTGTAAAAATTATATTTTTTTAAAGAATTAGTACTCACAGATTGTACTTGTAGATAGGTAGAGAAATCAATAATTTCTCTAAACTTGAAAGATAATTTTAAAAATTGTGTATTTTTTGAAAAATTACTCCAGGAAAGAGTCTACTCTTTTGGAAATTTTTAATATTGGAAAATCATATAATATCTTTTTTTTTGCTAAAACAGTCAAAATGATAATGACCGACCATCTAACAAACAGAGAGCAGTTTTTATTTGTAACTTTCGCAGGATTGTTTGTTAGATCACGTATTTCATTTTCTGTGCGGCCTACGAACGGTGATTATGCAAATTCGACCGCCCCTTGTGCGAATCACATAAATCGTTTCATATTTTATCACTTTTTTACATAATATATTTTGTATAAGCCAACGATCATTCAACGCGCGTCAGCACTGTAAGGTCTCCTCATTAACCAAATGATAAATTGCGAAGACATTTTCTTTAACAAATTATCTCGTTTACGATGAACGTGATGTTATGAGTGTATATGAAACAATTAGACACAAATATTATTATCTATTAAATATACTAGTATTGATTATTTTTCTTTAGGAGCGAAATGTGAAATATATGTTTATACGGGTATATATGGTATTGTATTGTATAATCTTTATTGTACACACATACCAGAAGGAGACTGTACAAGAGTCGTTTGCTTTGGTACCTCTGTCCCATTCGTGTTTCTACCTTAAAGTAGTTGTGTTTACATGGCGGTGCTTCGGTTTTAAGGGTGGGATATGATAGTAAATTTACAAGGTACAGCGGAATAACACCTTAGTCCTCAGGAATGGCGGCGCATGGAGGTATCATGGGCGAAACAGTATACTTTGCTATGTCCATGGTAGTACTCATGTCTATAGGCGACGATTACTTCTTTCCATTACCTGGGTCGTCATTTTGTTTGCTATTCTAAGTTGCATAAAAAAACATAATTTACATTCGACGTATTAAAACTTAATCTACAATGACGGACTTATCCTATAGAGGGATCTCTTACAATTCAATCTTTGAAAAACTGAAAGTGAATTATAAAAAATTCAAGAGTGCAACCGTGCAGCTAATGATAAAACCAAATAATACCTAGTTAAAATTAAACATATCATATCTATCAAAAAATATGTATGTATATGTAGTATGAAGTACATGAATATAATATCAACACGATATTAATCAACAGCAATTTTCAATTATTCAGCAGTCGACAATTAACGTCTGCTATGATGATGATGATTTATGTATTACTGCTTCAAGAGAAAATATATATATAATGTTTATTTTGTGAAAAAGATAATAATAATACTTAATCACTTAGTGTGTCTGTAGACAAAGGTAAGGATCTATAAATATTAAACTATCAAATAGATTATAATAAAAATAAATCATAATAATGAATAAAATTGATACGAGATTTAGCTTTTATGCTGAATAATTGTTTTAAAATGGGTGATGATGGAATAGTAACGCCACCTGCGCAATCGGTATATGCTGGCATGGTACAAGGAGCAATGATAGATAATGATAAAATCAAGTCAGTTCGCCCATCATGACGAATTCAAGAAGAATTAACCGCGACAATTTTCAGGGGAATCGCGTGGAGGTCGACCTGATAAGGTATATTGTTAAGAATGACAGTACATGACTATCCCTCTCCCTCCGATACTAAATAATTAGTCTAACATGTAATAAACTGTTATATGTATATGTATGATAATTAGTGATTAATACTTCTAACTCATTAAGTATTAAAAATATATGCATATTTATATAACTTCAAAAACGTCTTTTATGCTGTATCCATAACCAATCTCTTATTATAAAAAAAAGTGTTTACTTAAATACCTACAATTATTATAACATAGTAATATAAGTTTTTACCTATTTAAACATTTTGCGTTTAATTTACCCTCTTTGTATTAGAAAATTATTATTGTCTGAAAACCTCTTTGAAAACACAATTATCCCTAGTTAAGAGAATGGTGTCTTTTCTTATAGCAGTAATTACATCGCTGTTGTAATTATTATAATTGCTTTCGGCGACATATTAAGTTAACTCCTTTAAGGTACATATTATTATTACAGGTTTTTAAATACTTGTAAAATTTATTACATGAATAAAATCATTATTATTTTTGCGAAATTTATATTAGTAAAATACAGAATTATTAATAAACAAATTAAACATATCATTCTATTAAAATAACATCACTACTATAGTCGTTTGTTTTAACGATTCTTTTTAATACGTTCTTAATAGACTTTATTCATTTTTTTTTTTCATTTACATATTCATTCTTAATACTCAACTTAATATAACCATATTGACTTATATTCACCACAAACACAAAGTGATCGTATGTATATTTATATTTTGATACTATGAAATAAACTCTTTTCTTTTATATAATAATAATGATGATTCTAAATGTATACTTAGAGATAACATTTCATGTTGTTATATTTTAACATTATGTAATAAAAATACATTATCTTCTTGAAAAAAAGTAATAATTCACCTTCTTCGTTCTCATGAGAATTCTTAGAAAGCCCTTTTTAGTGTTCACTTGCCTCGTACATGTAATAATAAAATCATGTACGCAATTTCATGCTCGTGTAATATTGTGTGTCTTCTATTAATCAGTCATTGGTCATAGTTTTATAAAGTATATACAAACATACTATTATATAATTACTGAATAATAAAAACTAATATATTTATTATATATATATATATATATATATATATATATATATATATATATAAATAAATAATCCTACCGATTGAATGCTATCTTCATAAAGCACAACACACCTTCATAACACATGCATAAATAGCTGTTATAAAAATTTTAATACATTGCCTGTGAAGTACCTCCTCTTAACAATGAGGCTCACAAAATAATGTATAATACCCACTTAGCGTCGCGGCATCGCTCTCCCTTTGCTTTGTATAAAGGCATATGATGAGCTTCAAGAGGCATTCTTATAATACACATCAAAGGCTTTACTCCAGTTTCGATACGTAAGGAAAAATGAAAATCCTTACAAAAAATATTAAAGATAAACTATCTACATTGTTGCCAGTACTCCCGTACGGGGTGCTAGAGTCGTGGGATGATTTAGACCCCAAATTATATCACGCCATTCATATTTATTGGTTAAAATTTTACGGCATGTGGTACAACAATTTCTCACCTTTAAACATTCTTTTCTGGATTCAGATAATATATACTCTGATCATCTTATGGCTGGTGTGTTTTCTGCCCGGAATAGGAGAGGTCGTTTATTTGCTGAAGCGTAAGGAAAATATTGGCGACATTGCAGAAGGGTAGCTATATCTATATACTTGTAAACTATATTAAGTTTACTTTTATGTATTATATTTGTTTCTTATCTTAATTATAATGCATTTTTACTAATAACTATTCAACTTTAAACTGCAAAAATTTTGTAATGACTTCAAAATTGTGATTTCGTTTGATTACAGATTATATTTATTTTTAAGCGAAATGTACACATATTTTAAAATAGCTGTGTTTTGGTTGAATAAAGATAAAGTGATGAATCTAATAAAATATTTGTATTGTGAGGAATTTAAGCCTGTGGAGGCGGAACACAAAGAGTTTATACGGAAGAGTATAAAAACAGCACGTTTTGTGATGACATATTATTCCACAATGTGCGTTGGCGCGGTTTCAGGTAAAGTCTTTTAGGCAATTACTTTAACAGGAAATATATGAAACACAATTTAAAACCGTTTATACTTAGTACACCGTTGACATTTTATTGAAATTTAATATTTCTTTATATGGATATTCGTCATAAATAATCAAAGTTTATTCACAATAAATATAGTGTAAAATCGAAGGCGTTAACCGTACGTAAAACTAAGATTATGTCTGTACTATAAAATAAATTAGGTCAAAAAGAATTTCTGCCCTAATTTATTTACGGCAGAAATTCTAAAATTCAATCAAAAGTCATCCCATAATAACTACTGTATATAGTAACTTTTTATAGAAGGCGCTAAATTTTTATCAATTTATACATTAATTTTCCTTTGGGAAAAAAAATCAATTTCACTAGTAGAAGATACCCCTGAAAGAATGAAAATGATTTCGATTTCATTGCCTAAGTAAAAACTCTAACGTAAGAGTAAAAAATTATTAGATAAATATGTGGTTTTATTCAAAAAAATATCAAAAACAGAACAGAAAGATATCTATTCTATTGGTTTACTTCTCTATCACAAAAAAAATTGTTGAATATGTAACGAGTATTTTATTATCTAGAATAGTAAAAACTGTGCGAATCAACTTGATTCCTCCACTGTATTATATAAAATTGCATTGTTCTCCTCTCTACGTGTTCCATTAAAAACTATGTATAAAGTACAGAATTGGCCACAATAGCTGCACCTGCTGAATACATAGACACCTTTAAACATATTGGTGATTTCATGTAGGCAAATAGTGTGTATATTTGCTTGCATGTGATTACGACTTCAGGTTATGTTTTGAGTACGATTGAGTGCCTTGTCCGATATCCGGTTGCATATATAGATGTATTCGGTTCTACATATCTTAACATTCAGGTTACATGACACTTGAAAATCATGTGAAAGTTACTCCAGTAAGAATTACAATAAATAATAAAATATCTGTCAAATAAATATGCAGGTGTTCATAGGCTACGGTAACCACTTACCATCAGGTGGGCCGTATGCTTGTTTGCCACCTCAGTGGTATAAAAAAAAATTACTTTTCAAAAAAATTTAATATATATTTAAATAGTCTTAATGAAATGAAACCACATAATTCATCTGAATATCATAGAAAAAATAAAATATATTTTAATTACTATTTGATTTGATAGGTGCTTTCACAAACTTCAATTATCAATTTATTAAAACGTAGGTAGACGATTTTATTGAACTTTATTGGTTTTCAGTGGGAATAATAATGCCAATAACAGAAAATTTCGACATTTTACCAACGAACGTGGAATATCCATATTTTAATGTTTACACATCACCCGCCTACCAAATATTGTACGTTCATCACGTGAGTATATACTAAAATAAATAAAATTACTTTCCCTTTTGGTAAAAATTTTATGAAAAAAATAAACGAAAAAAACTCTGTACGGAATTCGTAGAAGCGAGAAATACGTTTCACCTTATAAAATCCAATTGCCATTTATTTACTTTATATATTAGCTGAGTTGTATATTAAATTACGTATATTTATTATATTTATTAAGTTTTTTCACAAATCATATATTGTATAGAATGAGTATGATGGAGATACCAGAAAACATATGTTATTTTTGATTAATATTCTTCCTCGATGGTACAACAAAAATAAATTAAAATTGTAACTATTGTATTACTAAGTAAATAAAAGAAAAACTTGAGACTGATAATTATAATACTTTGTTAAGATTAATTCATCTGTTAAAAGGAAAATCTATTGAAATATTCCAACATATAAATCAATTATCAGAAATTTTCAAAAACTTAACTGGAGAACAAAAGAAATAAACGCCACTGAAAACTATACATTTAAATAAATTGAGAAAAAGAGTATAAAAACATATATAAATAAAATCAAAATACAAATATATAAAAAAGGCTGACCAAGTTGCCAACAACAGGAGAGTTCTCGACTATTCGCTTATTTTTGTTACCCACTCACACCATATCACCAGTTCTAAACCAATTTTATTGTTTTTTGCAATCGATAGATTTACCCACATGTTAGTTGTATAAAAATTTTATTCACGATTGAAACCGCAATTTTTTCTGCATTGCCATACTTATTACCTCAATATAACATTAAAATACTATATTATATTATAGCTATAGTAAGGGTAATATTAATTTTAATTTGTTGACGTTTATTATAGTACATATATAAACACTAAAATAAACTATTAAATATAACTTTCTAATACAATTACACTTCTTAAAATAAATTAGTGTAACTTTATAAATATCTACAAACGGTAACCCAACGGTGTACTCGTATATTAATCAACAACTCAAAACGGCTGAAGGGATAGTTGATTTTACACCGTAAGTAAATCCTACCTGGTAAAATCTACCTCTTGTCACTATTAGCCTTTGCTAGTTATCGATCGTTACAAATGGAAGATTGCTGGTACAAATAACCCAAGGAAGAATTTAGATAAACCAATAGTAAATTTGTGCTTGGCCAATATGAGTAAACTAAAAAATAAATATAGAGTATAAACTAAAAAGAATCCCACCACATTATAAACTACATATAGTACTACATAAGTACAATGTATTGTAAAATTACAAAGTAATATTAAAAATTTATCTGTAGCTTCGTACTTTGATAAATGAAGCGCGCGGTGATCCTGTACAATATTACACTTGGGCCATTGTAGTTTGATTTTGATCCCTACAAGGACGGAGATGATATCATGCAATGGTAAATAAATAGAGAAAAGATGGAAATTATTTTTTATCCCGGTCAATCAACATGTCCCGGTTACGAATACAAAATAGCGGGCGTAGCTGGTGCAATTTGAAACACGATGCTTGCAATCTCCGTCTACATTGAAATACACGCTTTTAGCAATACAACAGATTATTGTTTTCACAGATATACTACAAACCGGCGACCTGTATTATTGATGGTGTTATGGATACTATTCTGGCTGCTTTCATCGCATCTACAAGTGAGGCACTATATTTTATTATTTTTTTATAATAAAAATTACTATACAAAAATTGTGGTTATCGCACTCACGCGTCTACTTATTTTAAATTATGTAATACCTATATACTATACTGTAATATAATAATTTAAATCTAATATCTTAGCTTAATAACACTATTATGCTTTCGTTATCATGCCCTGTCGTGACTACGACGTGGTGCAATCCATGTCGAAACGTCGGCAATAAAGAAGCAGGTATATAGGTACTATTTACCTGCAAAATTTTTCATCTCACTAAGTCTCGATAGTGTATTTAAATAAGCGTTGCGATGTTCAATCCCTTACACCTATGTACTGGGTGATATTGAAATTATTCGCATTCTGTTACATTGAGTATTCGGGTGGTAAATTTTTTTATCATATTTTTTATTCATAAATGGAGATTCCGAAATACAAGGTAGCGCATCTAAATTATTTTTAAATATATACGAATCCAAATCTACTAATACCTATTCTCACATTAACACTACGTATTCTCTCAAATTTATATTGGCATGAGCTCGTATAGACTCTTAATTTTCTTTGTCGTTTTTTCGACCCAATATACATTTACGAATACTTTCAGTTTCTCTGCTAAAAATGCTCTTGATTTTACTCTGTAAATTTATAAAACTTAAACTTGTTTAACTAATTGTAACTAGAATCCAGTCTAAAGGGACTACATGAAGCGATACATAATTGTACTTTTAAAACCTTTCTTATTATTATATTGACCCAACTCTGAACGCTGACCCATCTCCAATCAAATTTTGTTATTATAATGTACCATTATAAAAATGTACCTTATTTTCATATCAATACACTGAGCGTTTTTATAACATCGGGTTTTTACATGAATAAAACGCAAAGTTTTGTATTTTCATACCCTTACCGTATGTATATACATAGTTACAAAGAGAACAACTTTAAATGGATTAGTGGGTCACGCATTAAAATAAACTCTATTCCTTTGCCGTAAAAAAATAACATAAAAAAATATAAATATACTAGCAAACACCGTGGTACGAAATTTATGTAGGTCAATCTTTGATTCTGCAAACCTTATTAATTTATAACATTATTGTGACTTAAATATTAATAAATAGTTCTGTATCTATAAATAAATACACTGAATTTATTCTATCTAATATACCTACAGTGAAGAAGGGAGAAGGGATTGTTAGTAATGGGGACAAGCAACTTCAGTACTATCAATATATCCTGTTTTTTGATCATTGATAATAATGGAAATGGCAATCCCGTCCACGTTAACGGTATACGCAGGCGAGGCACCAATGAAGAATGACAGGTGAAAATGAAATGGCAAATCAGTTAGCTCATCGTGATAAATACACCTGGGATTCAGCACGATGGTTTCCGGGGGGGGGGGGGGGGGGGGTACGTGGAAGTCAACCTGACAAGATATATTGCTAGCAATAGGACTGATAATCTGCATTACTAACAGTTTACTCTAATAGGTCGACCTGCACGGGATTCCTCCTGGAAGTCATCGTGAATAATTTTTATAAATTCGTTCACCATCTATCATCTCTCACTGATACCTTACTAATGTATACCAATGGCGCAGGCGGGGTTACCATTCCATTACCATCACATAAAAAGAAATATGCCTATAGATACTCATAAATGTAAACATTTTCATATTACAGTTGGACAGATAGAGATATTAGCATTTAACTTGCGTAATTTCGACGTAGTAGCAGAAAGGAGACGTAAGAGGGCTATTAACGAACATAAAGCCACCGGAGCATTGTCTGAAGATTACCACATACGTACTGTTCTCAGAGACTGTATTATACACCACAACAGCATCATAAGGTAAATTAAAATGTTTATTTTAGAACTCATCAGTCCATGACATGACGTCACGGTATTGTTATTTATTTATATTATACTAGCGACCTGCATCGGCTTTGCACGAGTGTAAGAGTACTTATAGAAAAGTTTAATAAATACATATTATACCACAAACCTTTCTTTAAAAAGTCCCCTAAATGACAATGAAACCCTTATCCCTACCTAGTATATATAAAAGTTAAGCTTAGAAACAGACAGACGCAGACAACATTATATCTTTCAACAACATAAAAATCAAAGTGAATACCTAATATCACAAGAAATGAGTCGTAGCTAACTTGAGCAGATTGCACTCACTTTGTACGGGATTGAGACTTTTCTTGAAATAGAGAAAAGGAGCGAGTTTAAGAACTGTCTGAAAAGATTTTTTTTACTGTTTTTATGGAGCTATACTTTAAAAAAAAAAATTAAAGACTGTCTCTCTTCGTCAACTAACGTCATATAATTGATTAAAAACTTTCATATATTTACAAATGGCTACGACGCGATGCAATCTATGACAAAATATCAGTAATAAAATTAGATTTTTAGGAACTGTTTAACTAAAAAAAGTTTTGATAAGTCCCGAAAAAAATTTACCACTTTTAGTAGATGCTAAATAAAAGTAAATTCTGATTATGACAATAATGACGTGAGAAAGACCGTAGCTCATTGCTTATTAATAATACTGAATATTTTACCGTCACAATAAAATCACTTATCTAACTTCTTAAAAGCTCTATAAATATCAGACCAAGGCAAAATAATATTGTGAAGTAAGACTTACTTGAATATAAATATAAGATTTTTAACATGTCATCCGTTATTTAATTTAGAGACTGAATTATGTTATGATTTAATAGCTGTCACGAAGCATCTCTAACAATAACTTTGAAATGTCAAGTTCTACAAAATTTTGTGGTTTTTTATTATTATTAGATACGTATTTATAGAGATATTATTAAATAACTACATCTGCAATTATAGTAAAATTATTATCAGAGTATAAATGCAAGTAATATAATACTTAGGATTTCTACATCTTTGTTTTTTTAAATGGTCCACTTTTAGACATCTTCCTTTTCGTTTATTTTTAATTGTGCATTATATTTTTTTTTTTATGTTTATATTCTGTAGAAAACTATTTCTATATACAGTTATACACTACATTTATTTTAAGCAACTGGTTTTATTTTAAATATATTATAATACATGTAATATACATAAACACATATAATACATGTAATAATACATGTTCTGGCTCTGCCTGCGTAAATTAGAATTGATATTTTGCTCAAATCCGTCGTATCTAATGAAGCGTGATCGAATAAATAATATCCAAACATTATTATTAATTTTATATGAACATCTCGTTCACGTCGCCGACGACAAAATACATTTGACTGTCCCATCTGAAGCATTACTTTTATCGATTAAATATAATATATATTGAATCGATAAGAATGCGATAAATATCAGCATCCCTCTTAAAATATCACCAAACTGCGGTTGCTAACCCGCCTATCAAGCGTAGCAACTAACGGCAAAGCCCCCCTTATGGGGAAGACTATGTTCAGCAGTGGACAGTTAATGGCTGATACAACAACAACAATATAATTTCAGAGATATGCATCATTGGTGTAATGAAAATTATTACTTACAGTTCTCATAAACACAATCCACAATGATCGATACGTCACCATTAATATCTACTGAATGGCGCGTGAAAAAAAAACAACCAAAAATTCAGCCGTTAGAGGTGACATGAATAAAGCGGGTTTATTATCGGCTGCCACTGACAACGCTGTCAAACGCTAAGCCTCTCACGTCGGCAATTTGACAAAATACATGTGGAGCAAGTAATAGACCGATATATTTTATTTAGGTATTAAACTGACGTATGAATCGTGATTTTGAAGGTGAAAATTGAGCATAACAGCTTTAACAGAAAACAAATACCTACAGTATACCTACAAATTTCTCAAGGTTATTCTGTTTGGTATTTAATCTATCTTTGAGAGCAATTTACATTCAGTAGTGGACATAAAAAGTTAAGAGATGTTGATGAAGGTGTTGAACTACAAAAAAAAATTGTTGTTTCACAATTTCATTATGTACGTGTGTATGTTTTTAAATTTGTTCTATTATGTCTAGAGTAGTTTCTTTAATATAGGTTTTTCAAAACTTCGTGTGTAAAAAAAATATAATAAAAATTATAAATGTACCCATAATTATTCCCTTAAAGGAAAAATTGTAATTGTAAAATCTTTATTGTATATAATTCACATTGAACACTAATAAATGATTTAATATACAATGAGGGACTTATCCCATAAAGGGATCTCTTACAGTCATCCTTTGAGAAGCTAAAAGAAAACTGTAGAATGTATAAGACTATCAACCGTACAATTAAAGATAATAATACCCAGTAAAAAAATTTAATATATAATACAAGAAAAACAGCTCTATATACTTACATATGTAAATAATAAAAGTACATGAATAATAATATAACATTAATACACAAATATATACATACATACACACATACACATATCTACACACACATATATATATACACTCATACATACACATACATATATACATAACAAATACATAGATTTGTTATGTATATATGTATATATATTCACAATTGGCTCAATGAAGAGAGATTTTCAAAATAAAAATTTACGATACCTGCTTTAAAGGATTTCAGTGATTGTGCCATCTTTAAGTTATTAGGAAGTGAATTCCAAAGATGTGATATTCAATATACATATATAAAAAAAATATTTTTATAAAGATTTAAAACAGACTCCTAAGTCCTCTAGTCCTCCTAAATGAGCCCTAATCTGCAGGAATAAGTATTACAATTTGAAATTAATATCGGCTATCTAGTAATTCTTTATTAAAATCTAGTGACTAAATTTTAGATAAAACTAAATTATATCCGAGACGTAAAATGTAGAAAGTAAAATGTATATGTGAGATTACTATAAATATAATGTTAGCAATTCATACGTTTCAGAAGTTTGCTTACATTTACCTCTTTGATCTGTATGGTTTTTAATAGACAAACACGCTTCGAATATAGAACAAGACCCAAATAGGATGTGAGCAACATAAATACCCGAAGTTCTTTGGTGACGCAAAATGACGGTTTTCAAACATAAAAATACAAAATTCTAAAAAAAAGTTACTGAAATCTGCGAAGCCTCTCAGACTGCGAAGTCGTGGGCGGTAGCCCACGTCACCCACGCCTTACACCGCCTTTGGTTTTTAACATTACATATTTACAAATTTTTTATAGGTACTTATATGGAAGGGATCATACTTCAAGTGAGACGCGTGTAATAAAATTAGTTTTCTGTTTATGAATGGAGAAGAGATTATATATACTCGCAAATAGTCTTGCAATTTTATCCCTAAATAAATAACAATAAGCTAGTAATAGATACAATAATAAAAATAAAGAAAACAATACATTTTCCTGTTTTCAGATATGTGTCTATGATAGAAAACGCCTTCAGTCTAGCTTCAGCACTGCAATTCATGTTAAGTGTCATGGTACTTTGTTTAATAGGTGTTCAGTTTTTATCGGTGAGTATCATTCCTTAATTATCTATTTTATGAGTATTTTATATTAAAACACTCTCAATATATTTTTATAAGTTGATAGAGTTTTAATATCGACTCATAATAATGTACTTTCTATGTCAAATATAAAAATTTAACAATGGTATGTATAGTTTAGAATTAAACGAATTATTTCAGTATCCTGCTTACACTGTATTGTTCTCATTTATAAATTTATTTATACTTTATTGTACACAAAAATTACATTGTTACAATTTATATTATATGAAGATGTAAAACAAGTGAGTTCTTTAAAAGTTCTCTTCCAGCCAACCTTGAGTGGAAAAGATTATTCATTACCAGCGGGCTGTGTGCGTACAATAAGAAGTGTAAACAGTATAGTACTAGTACTCACTTTAATTATATATTTATTTCTTAGTACTGAATATATTCAAAAACTACTCGACCACTTTAGAAATCCTTTCTATATACCTACAGAAGTCTACATTATAAGCAAGTTAGACTATATAATTAACTACTAACTTGATGATAACTAACCGAAGCCTTGTTGGACCGATAGTATATGATATACCTATATTTATGACTGAGTATGATATGATATAATAATTACCTAAATTTGTAGAATAAAAACCAAATATTTTGAAAAATATACTCGTACATATAATCATTCAAGTAGTATAAACAATAGAAGCCGTGGCAAATTGTTATAATCGGTAGTCAACACATAGTGAATTTATTTCTACATGCAATCCCGATTCTGATGCGTCATTTTTCTAAACCAATCTCTTAACCTATTAATTTAATTTGATTATTTCGCGAAATAACCGTTTTATGGATCAGCATAAATATATTTATTTTTACACCAATTAATTTAATTAATGAGAAGTGATACAAAATGCGGCATTATCCCTAAAAAATCTCTTCCTGACAACCTTTGGGTAAAGAACATTTATAATAATTTTAAACTTAAATATATTAGAAAATTAGTTCGTAACAGTCTTTAATAAAAAGGTTTCGCTGTGATATCGAATGTAAATTTGATTTAATTTAGTTTAGAGAAATGGCGTTTCAGGATTGACTCTAATGTGTTATAGAGCTGCTGCATTCAAATTCATATAATAATAAAACAATATATAACCACTAACAGATTAGCCTAATTCACGCAAAGGGTTCATTTATATAATTTATGCATGTATGATTTTACGCTTATTACATCGTCATCATAATGGTTTTAACATTTACTTAACCCTTTTTTATATCAAATAGAAAAGTAATATGCACGTAAGTACTTCTTCACTACATATATGGAACGTGTACTTCGCTCAAAGCAACTCATTACCTATTGCCCTTGGGAGGAAAAATATGAAATTTCATTGCTTCCCTTTTTACCGTTTACTTGTTGACAAGTGAATAACAAACAATAGCCAAAAGACAAATAAAACAGACAACAAATAGATTACATTCGTGTATATTTCAATATTCGTGACATATTACCCGTACATACTTACATCTATGACAAAAATAAACGGTAGACAAAATAATAAACTCTAATTAATATGTAGATTTTAGTTTATATTAATCTGAGTGTGACGTTTATTTATTATCTCTTGACGCTATAACAGCTTAAACAATGATCACAAAATTTTATATACGTACGCATAGTATTGGACATGGAAAAGTTCATAGGCTACTTTTTATTTCGATCAAACAGACGAACTCGTGGACATAACTAGTCATATAATAATTTTCAAAAAAAACATCATAGAAAAAAATAATTAGTTTCGGTAGTAAAACACTTTTAATACTGCTAAAGGCTAACTTTTATATCACTCCGTATATAAAAAATACCAGAGAGACACTTCTTACAAAAGACGTTTGCGTGGGTCCCATGTCTACCCGCGTTTCCGCCATGAAACAACTATGCTTGCATTACTGTATTTCGGTTTGAAGAACAGTACGGAGATATAGTTCTAAAAAAGCATGTAAATGCCATGGACAGTATTGTGTGATACATAAAAGCGAAAGCTATGATTTTTATCAAGTCGGCTGTCAAGCATTTTGCCATTAAAAGTATCATAAAAATAAGATAAAATATAAAAATGTTAAGTAAAGGTAATATTATGTTATTGTACCTGTATAACGTAACGTGCTTACTAACGATATCTTAGGATAACTTCGAAAGTAATCACGTCTCACTAGTCTAGAGTTTAGTCTTGAGAGAAGTCGTAAAATTTTATTTTCTTTGACAAATTTGTCGCCGTCGCACAAGTTGCGAAGACAATGCAAACAATATACATGGAAAGAAGAGCTTGATCTCAGCTTTAATTGCTTTTATTTATAATGGTTTCGTTTTATTACAGTTTATTCTTAATAAATACTAGTTACTATTCGTTTCTTTATTCGCATGAATAATATTTAAAAATATTATTATATACTGATCCTTCTAATGTTGTAACTGTAAAAGTTTGTTAAAATGTTTAAATGTTTCTATATTTGTTACTCAATCGCGCTTAAATGGCTGAAAGAATTTTAATAAAATTTGGTACAGGAGTAGGTCATATCCTAAGTTAACATATAGAATGCTTTCTATAACGATGCACGCAAACAAAGTCACGAGAAACAGCTAGCCTCTATTATGATCCACCTGTATAACAAATTTACTAAAAGACAGTTTTTTTTTTTTTATGGGTGAAAATGGTATGGTAACCCCGCCTGCGCTAACGGGATACGCTGGCGGAGCACCAGTGAAGGGTGATAGATGAGAATGAAAACAGGCCAGTTAGCCTATCATGGTGAATTCATCAGGAATCCGCGAGGAGGTCGACCTGGTTGGGTATATTGCTAGCAATGGGATTTTCAGTCTCCATCACTAACAATCCCTCTCCCCCCTAAAAAGACAGTTAGGGGTACAAAACTATTAATAGTATACTAATAACTTCTTCTAGGAGAAGAGACCCATGCCTAGCAGCCAGAGTTATTGAGCACAACAAATTTCATTAAAATCTATTAAGTCGTTTAAGCGCACAATTATAACCTTCACATTTATAATACTTAAAAATAAAGATATATTTATTTAACAAAGTATGTTTATATAAGCACAGAATTCATCATTAATTCCTACACTAGGCTAAGCCTGTCCTGTAAGAAACAGGATTCGTATTACCATATACATGCATACAGAGATTAACATAGGCTTTTTAGTATTACTGATAATAATTTATCTACTAATTTATATAAAGCGATTGTTTTTATTTAGATCTCACCACTAATAATTTCACAAAAATTTGTGCACTTAAATTAATACTTAGCAAAAATTAGCAAAATGCCAAATTAAATAAAAAAAAAAATAGGATAGACATATTTGTAATATTTACTTATATTATGAAAAATTACGACGTTTTCAGGAACGTATTATAACTAACCTACGAGCTTGAAATATTGCAGGATTCCTTTGTGATGTAGACATTCACTAAGAAACCGTTTTAGTAAATTCCCACGGGAACAAGAGAAAATAGGTTCCACGATAGTGAAGCTTCTTTCTAGTAACATATTCGTATAGGTATAAACCATTACTCTGTTGGCATTTAGTTGAAACAGTCGTGTCAATCAAACTGACACTCAAAATGGTTCTACTTTCTATATAGTACTTTTTTGTTGAGTCCCGTACCAAGAGATAAAAAGAAATACTTACAGTGTTATTTTATTATTTGTCTGCACATAGCTTTAATTTAAATGACTACTACTGCTGTTAATATTAACTTCCAACTCAACTTTATTTCAAACGAAGCAATTAAATATATACTTTATTTATACACTTTTTTTCTTTGGAAAGGATCTTAGATATTCGAATTACGGGATTCAAAATTTCCCCTCTTTCAAATTATATTATGTTCTAAGATTATGTTAGAAAACTTTTTGATATTTCTAACTAGTACAGTTTTTGAATAATTATCAAACATGTTACATAATCCGGTTTTTAACCACAAATAGGGTCCAATTATGGAATTGTTTTTCTTTTTTTTCTTTTGGTTCTTGAATTGTTATTAAGTATTTATTTATTTTGCTTTATTTATTTAAGGCTCTATAAATTAACAAACAAACTAACTCACTTTTACATTTATGATATAAATAAGGATTTTAAATGCAGAATCGTCACTGTATACGACCAATACTCACTTGACCGATATCATTTATTAAATCGTATTTAAACAACAACCATCAATCCAATAAGACTTCCTGTTTTATTATTTCATTAAAACAAAAACTTAGAAAAAGATTAAAATTTTATTTCAAGCTTAATTTACAATACTTCTCCAGTATATCTGTTCAAGTTTCAAGCAATTAAACCGCCGAAGTTGTCCTTTGTGTTCGCAAAGCCAAGCGGGATACCGAAATCTTGAACGGATAACAATATTATCTGCCACCCAATTCACGGTGGAAAGTAAGTCCCTAACAGTAGTTGTGCAGGTGCTACGAATGTTAACTAGTAGACAACTGAAACAATATCGCAACCTATTTCTGTTAAAGTTCCTTGCTAGTTTAACAATTTACAAGTTCTATTCATCATGTGTCATTATTGTAACTTGTATTTACACGCGGCTTCGTTCGCGTGACTGAGATATATTGATTGATTGGTACAAAAGTAGTCTATTTTCTTTTCCTTCCCAAATAGAACATGTATTACTAAATATCGTGACAATTGGCTTAGCCATTAAAGTTCCAGAAAATTACAAACAAATAAACTTCCTTTTACATTTATACTATTATTATATTTTATGAACCCACTAGTAATGTCTATCTTTGTAGTAGTCTATGCTTTATTTATATGCTTTATATATGTATGATACTATTTTTTACTTTAGCATATTTGTTTTGAAGTGTTTAACTTATTAATAGCTACATACGCGACTTTGCCTAGGTTAATATAGACTTACTTATAAAATATTTAATTTAAATCTAATTTATTGGAGACCATTTAGCTGTTTAAGACTGATTGAGGAACAAATATAAAAACATACAAACATCGAAATTTTTATATTTAAAAGTTTAATAAAATTAGTTTAAATAAGCACTCTACAGCATTATTATCTAATCTCAAATCGCAGTCTTAGGCGTTCACTAAAAATTTTCTGAAAACCAACCAACCATCCAGAAACAATCAAACCGATACCAACGAACTAATTTGCTTTCCAGCATTTTATAAATGTAAACGAACTTCTATAAACAACTCATTACATTTTATATATTAGTTTATGCAACTTGTACTGTAACTTGTCAGTAATGATAAGCACTAAATGTCATCAGTAAAATAGTAAAACATTGTGAGATATAAAAAAAGAAATATATTTTTACATTTATATATTCTCGTATATATCCGTAATAATTTAAATATACAAGTAATAATTATATTCAATCTATTAATATTGCAAGTATACATATAATAGTATATAACAATGTTTCAATATTTACATACATTATTACATATATTAGATTTGAATAAAATTAGATAAATAACTTGTATCCTAACTTAATACATAGGCTACTTTATATTGATTTACGCAACCAAAACCACGGGAAATAAATAGTAGTAGCATATTTAATGCCGTTATAAACCTGACTCTCCTAATTCTTCTAGACTTCAATGACTCTTATCATATAAGAAGTCCTCAATCAAAATGGAAAAAGTTTAGGTCAACAGAAGTTATCTATCATCCATTGAAATTTTAAATAGATTATTATTAGTAAGCTGATTACTAATACCTAAGGTTATGGTTATTTAAATAGACATTTATATACTTAAGCACTTTTTTTTTAATTCCAGATCGAAAACCCATCCAGTCACCCCATGCAAATAATGTGGATGGCAATTTACTTGACATGCATGTTGTTTGAAGTGTTTATACTATGCTGGTTTGGAGACGAGTTGATATGGAAGGTACATTATAAGTTCACAATATAACAAAGAGCTTCCAGGAAATTTCTTCATTTTGAATTTTCAGATACTCATACGATACAGTTACATTTGTCCTCACATGTCTTTACCAGAAAGAGACTTTGTACAAAAGTCGTTAGCATGGATCCCTTTATCTCACTCGTATTTCTACTAAACAACTGTATTTACATGGTTGTGTTTCAGTTTGAAGGGTAGTACAATTACAGGGTACATAACATCTCAGAATAATAGAAATGGGTTGCCATTCCCGAGGACCATGATGAGATGTCCGTGGGTGTTATTTTTTAACGATACAATCAACAGTATCGTTATGTAAATGTATAAACAACATTTTCAACGTCGTGATCTTGTATATTGTACAAGCTCTACAAATAAAAATCTATTTATTGTCATGTTAAAGATTATTTTATTTAATCAATTTGTATTAGCAATTTTTTCTTAACCCAAATAAGTACATTAATACGATATTTTTAACTTATCTTGTGTATAACAATTTTCAATATATTTTGCAGAGCCTTGACCTCAGACAAGCAGCATTCGAAGGTCCCTGGTTAAAAACTAACGCAGCGACTAGAAAATATATTATAATATTTCTAGAACGATGCAAACGCCCTCTTAGAGTAACAGCTGGAAAAATATTCGTATTATCTCTCGACACATATACAGTCGTAAGACTATTTTGTTATATATTCTTATACCAAGTCAATTTTCATACTTATAAATTTCTCTTTTATATTTCGTAACTTAATATGTATATTCTTTATAAAAAAATAATGTTTAATAAGTACGTTTTCCATTTCAGCTCATTAACTGGGCCTATAAAGCATTTGCTGTTATGAGTAATATGAAGAAATAATTAAGATTGTTTTTATGTAAACCATGAATTATTACGATAACACAGTAGTGTCGCTGGATACAATACAATATACTACATATAATTAATAAATTACGCACTTCAACAGCTAAGTACTATTTTTATTTCCTTCTTTAAAAATCTGCAATTGTCTAATACCACTAAACCGAAATTGTCATGTATAGCGCAGTGTTAGTACTTACGAATGAAAGCTTAGGTTATGAAAATATAAGATTATTATTATGCCCACGTCATATAATGAGCTCATTGCTAAGGTTTCTCCAATAGACTACAGCACAAAGTTCTTCAAAAAAGAGATAGAAGTTTTTGCAAGATAAGCATAATAGCAAAGCACATACTTCTGTATAGCAAACGTTGATAAGCTACGACAATCGCTTACCACCAGCTTATTTATTATGTTGATTTTCCACATCAATGATATGAAAAAAACAAACCACACGAATATTTACTAGCTAATGACACCAAAACAAGAAAACATGCATAATCCAGTAATTAATTATTTAATACGTTTCTCCGTAGAAGCCATAAAAATATCGGCAAACAAAAGAAACGCAAATTGATTACATTCCCATGCAAATGACGACGGCAGCACTCCGCGTGCCCGTGACATAGGTCGAAGCACCCAATAAATTTTATCAGGCACTTTTATAGGAAATTCCTTCTGTTTCAATAAAACCCAACTCTGACATCAATCAATACGTAATCGTTTAATTTTTAATTTTAAGTACTTTAGACGCAATGTGACAATGGCCACTCGACTAATTTTGTTGTCAATAAATATGAAAAATAAAGTTTTATTATTATTTTAACGTTTACTTCAACGTCTTCTTCCTACTCTTATCCCAGTTATTATTTGGAGTCGATATTATGTTTTTCTCTTCCATTCTTCTCTGTCCGCATTTACTCCCATTCTGGATATATTATCTTTTATACAGTCCCTCCGTGTCCTTTTAGATCTTATTCTACCGTTATAGCCATCCAAAATCATACTTAATACCTTTCTTAAAACATGTTCCTCATACCTGCACATCACATCAGGAATAACAGTTACTCTTTAATTTTTCTATCACTGACGCAACTTTCAAACTTCCTCTGATATACTCATTCTAAATTTTGTCCAATCTTGTCATACCACACATCCATCTCAACATTCATATCTCAGGTGCATGCAGTCGCCATTCATCCGTCACCTTTGCTAGCAAACACTCCAACCTATATCTGACAGGCAGTATTAAACTCTTGTAAATTTTTCCCTTTAAGGTTTTAACATTTTATTGCATCATTATTATATCAGTCGTTAAAAATCTTCAACAGTTCATGTAATATTGCTACAATAATATGTTTTATACAACTTACAATGACAAACAAGCTGACAGCCCACCTGAAGCAAAGTGGTAACCGTCGCTTATAGACATGAGCATAACCATAAATATAACATAACATACTGCTTTGCCCATGATATCCCCCCCTAAATGCGTTGCCATTCCTAAAGACTCAGGTATTATTTCTCTGTACCCTGTAAATTTTAAGTACAAATAATAAACAAGGTGGGGAAATTACAAATACCTATGAATGCATATTACTTTAATGCTCGGGAACGACAGTCTTTTATGACAAAATGTACCTATTTTAAAATGTCTACTGCAATATACTATTTGTCTAATTGTCTACAGGCAATTTACCATGTCTCTAAAGATCTGTTTCTAAGTCATATTAAAACATTCACATATTTAAAATCAAATTAATCTACAATAATATTAAGAATCCATAACATATATTGAAACACACAAATAATATAAACGTCCAACTCTGAAACAGTCAGAAATCATAATTTGCTATATTCTCATATCATATATATACAACACTTATCACCGCACGTAATGGTAGATACATACGTCGAGATACCATCTCATTAAATCTCCAAACTGTAGGAAAATTACAATAAATTCATATAACTTGAGTCATCCAAACAGCCGTCAAAGTTAAACCACACAACTTGGGTTCTAATGAATGAAGACTTGCCCAACTAATTTGCCAGCGCGCCACACTGACAGCACTGCTTTAAACTATTAATGCTGTCATCAAACATACGTGGCTTACTAACATCCCGTATATGAATATAATCAAATACATAGACAAATCTAATATTTAAGTTCAAATGTTGCTTATAAAATTAGTTGTTTTATAAACAAATTAAAAACTAATTATGTAAATTGTACATAGGAGTTTTACGTATTTAAATATACCTACACTATCATTATTATTAAATAGTAGGTTGTATAATAGTAATAGAAAGTTTGGATAACCTTATTATATACAAGAGTAGTTCATTAAAAATATATCCACCGTAATTTAAAAGTGCATGTATAATTTCAGCATGCATTGAATCTTGCAATGAAAACAGAAATGTCACGTTATTGTAAGACAAGATAAAGTCATGTCACGCTCAGCTTATGGGGTCGCATAACTTCGCACTAATGAATGAGGAGTTCACACTTCGTCCTGGAGCTCTTTGCGACTAATGAAATTGCTATACCAGACATCCTCCCAGGGAAATGAGATTACATGCCTTGATATTCTTTAAAAATATTTAATGGAAACATTCATCATTTCTGCTTATTGACGTAATTCTTTTTTACATTACAAAGTTATTACTTAATAAAGTAAACATTTATTTATTTAGGCTATATATACATATATTCTATAAGAAACTTTATAACTAAGTAATTGTTTTAAAATTGTACAAAGTAAATTGCTACGCACAGCGTTAGCTTATTCTAGTTTTAATATTATATACACAATAACAATAGAATATAATAACAAATATATATTAAATTCAGATACTTCTTTTACCATTTTAAGATAAGACTTTAGTGATAAAAAGTGATAACAATTGCTTATGCCTTCATGCGTAGTAATTTCAAAACCAAATCTCATTCATATCTAACAGAATCTATTCCTGTGTTCGAATTTTATATAAAACTTGCTTAACCTTATCAATTTTGTCAGGGTCATAAGATTCATCGCAATGAACGCACCTAATGATGGATATAGCGGGAGGGGAAAGGGATTGTTAGCAATAGATTTTGACAGCCCCATTGCTAGCAATATGCCTTATTAGGTCGACCTCCACGTGGTTCCCCCTGGAAACCATCTTGAACTTTCAGTTAGCTCATCGTGACAAATTCTTGTTGAATTCGTCACGATGAGCTAACTGACCTACTTCATCCTCATCTGTCATCCTTCACTGGTGTCCCGCCGGTGAATACCGATAGCGTGGATGGGTTTACCATTTCATTATCATTCATTAAAAAAAATTATGGATATAGCGGAGAAAGTGATTGTTAGTAATAGGCTCTATGAATTAACTCATTGCTATACACCCTATCAGGTCGACCTCCATGCGGTTCCCCCTGAAAACTATCGTGGTTAATTCTAGTGGAATTTGTCACGATGGACTAACTGACCTGCTTTCATAATCATCTATCATCCTTCACTGGTGTCCCGCCAGCGTATACCGATACGATTCCTACTCTCAAACATACGAATTGCACATGCTTACATAGCTACTCCCCAAATATTTAAGACAATATTTTATTATGTCTTTTCATGAATAGGAATGATTTACTGTGAGCTAAATTCATGAATACCTAATAGCATACATCTGAAATCATCAGCCCTTTGTAGACTAGCGTGTCAAACAGATTAGCCTAGCTTCTAAATTGGATTACATTTGCTACATAGCAACATAAATTATTCTCATATATAAATAACTTATCTATGGGAATAATTCATGTTTAGCAATGTATGTTACAATTACGATATGAAATCTTACTTATCCAAAAAACAACAAAATGTATCGTTACACTTACAAATTTATAACTACCTTCAATATTTATTAAACACCCAAACACTTACATCCAGATTTATCTAATTTAAACTCTCACTTTTAGAATAAATTACCTAATTTTCGACAAAATTAATTTTAGGAGGTTTTTGTATTAAACGCAGAATAAATTATGATACAAGTATAGAGTACAATTTCTTTTAGAAATAGTGAAAGAATCTACATTCTCTAAACTATTTCTCTGACAATGCTCATTAGTCAACACTTCTGAACCTTCAAAAACTATAGAATCAAAGCAAATAGATTGGTTCGTAATTTGGAATTTCAAAATTATTTATCAACGCCAACTAAATTGATATAAGAACAGATTAAAATAAGATCACAATTATTAAAAAAATAAACCAATAAAATAAAACTTTAATATCTTAACATAGATAAGAACATAGATAAGAATTTTAGAAAGGATTTAGAAAGTAAAACAATTTTATCGGCAGCTTGCAAACAAGTTTGCAACACGTGTACTTCCCTATCACTCCGTCAGATAACACCACTTTTAAGTTTTACCGTTCAGAAAATTCGTTCCAAATTCCAATGAGAAATAAGAAATGGGCCTTAAATTTGCATGCAACCCGTCGATGGTAAATTATCGAGCTGTTTGGCGAACGGCCAGCCGACATTTACCAGCCGTATTAAGGACACAAGTGCTCTGTGACTAAAGAGCCCGCGCGTGACTCTAATCTGAATTTTGTAACGGTGATAAATCTATAGATTTGGGTATTTGGAGCTAACATGCAAACTGGCTTTATTGGTTACGAACAATTGGTACCACGCACATTATTTTTCATATAGTAGTGTATAAAATAGACCCTATCTATATTATTTGTCTTGACAAAATCTATTAATAGAGTAATATAAACAAAATTTATCACGCCTATATTCGTTTCGCCTATACAAATTACTAGCCTTATTCTTTATTAAGTGATGGCATGAAAATAAAACGTGAGTAGAATTAACAAATATAAACTGGATATCACAAAGGTCATATTTTATAAATACATAATTTATAACACTATTTTACAAACTTTACAATCTCCTCTTTGCAATCTTCGTAAAAATGATTTACAATTATTTTTAAATGGAATAATTTTCCAAAAGTTTTATGTTAATTTTATAGCATAAACCGTTTATTTTATTTATTTATATTTATTACGTTATTACGTCAGACTTTTTTACTAATTTAATATTATAAATTAAATAA